GTTCACATGTAAGTTTGGCAATTTGTCTCATATCTCCTTCCAGTCGTAATATGCACTTCTAAAATGGAATTTAGTGGGTTCGTGTATGATAGGGAAATGTCAGATGTACTCCTTATTCTACGACTTATAGACTCTTTAAATCGTAAAAATTGCGGCTAATGCATAAACTATGGCTGTACACACTGGGGGGCTGCAGTTGGGCATGTATCTCAATCCTGCAGTTGAAAGTTTAGAAGCAGGCCCATTAAAGCATGATTTGCTCTTCCTTCGAGAACTGGCATATTTTGAGAAATTACAATTCTGTTTTGCTTAGAAGGAGGAAAGGTCATAAAGTTAGCAGCTTGATTGATGATCATAGTTATGGGCCCCCGCAGTATCCTCGGGTCTCGAGGCTTGTGGTGTGGCATCTTTGTGGAGCAATGTGCCATTAATGTACTCACAAGGTTTCCAAATTTGTGAATTAGGGTTTTTTAGAGCAGAATACGCAGTCGGCCCTTATCTTGTTAAGAAAAAACTACAGACTATAAAAGCAGGAAACGGGTCAAAGAGTACAGCAAAGATCATATTTGCGAATGTTTTGTCGGCTAAAGCACCAAAAAACTATTCCTGTTTTTATTTACACCATTGTAAATTTGTACCCTATGACAGATCCCTTGACAACAGTCCTTTTTTTAGTATTTTGTCAACATACAGAAAATAGGCAGAAAATTTCTGCAAAGCATATTTTTTATGTGCCAATGGCATGGATGCATTTTATACTGCTAAGCTGGGTTGCATTTCGAATGCCGGCAAACGCAAATTAATTAGTTTTTCTAGTAACTCGCTTATGTAGCGTCCCTAGACTCCCTGATGACGAAAGAAGACACAATACTCGAGCAGAATATGTATATTCAGCATGGAGAAGGTGTCCGGGCTATTGGCATGGCCCCAAAAGGCCGGCCCACCCAGCAAGGTACAGAAGGCTAATTCAAAGTATAAAAGTGGCGCCTCACCAGAACCGAGGGATAAACCACTATCGTATTACACTTATCTACATTTATCCTCGTTAATCAATTTTCTTTGATTATTTGCGACAGTTACATAAGTAAATATGTATATCTAGGTAGTACTTCATTTAATTTCAGAAGACAAATTTAGCGGTCCATCTAAATAAAACTGAGGCAGGTATACACCATTTAAGTAAAATAAATAACAGTCTGTAAGGTAAAGAGCCTGCTAAAAAGCACTTTTATCCGGTACATTTACTGAACATACTGAGTCATATTGTAGGCCTTCAGCAGGGCATTTCTGAAAGAATTAAACCTTTGTGCATGCCATGTATTCAATAATAGTTTAAATGCTTATTTGCTGCCAGACCAGTTTATGCGTTCGAGTGCTTCCGTTTCCAAGACTTAAGTAGACCTGCATTTCATTTACTTTACAACAGTATTTTTCTTAATGGAGATGATTTTAATTAGCTAACAATGATTGGTGATTAAAGAGAATTCCCAGGGACCACTTTTATCAAGAATGACACGTTCAGAAGGAATGTCATATTTTATTTTGTCGTTTTACCAATTCTCATAAAGTAGTTTATAGTACCATAAATGCCAAGTCAGTGGCACCATCTATAGACATTAAATAGTCAGTTATATGATGTTTTATCTGTAGTGCAGTGTAAAAGAATTAACTTTGTTTTCCATTTGTGAGGTCACACCGGTGCTAAATCGCCGTTACATATGCAAGTAATGCCTTCACTATCGTAACTTTATAAAAAGTGATGCCTCCGTAGGCATTAAAAATGGACTTTTTCAATATTTAGACCAAAGCGCAATAGGTCTTATAATTAATATTGCAGTGCCTCCTTGTGGTGTCTCTTCCTTTTTGAATTTAGCATTGATCGAAATGGTTAACTGCATAACCCTGTTTGCCAGAAATAGGAAAACTCTTTGGGATGGTAATATTGATGGTAGTATAACTAACAATCCAATCACATTTTAAAGTGGATGTAAAATCTAATCTACGGAACCTACGTTTCCCTTCTTCAGTGCCATTTAAAATGTCATTTACAAAGGCCTGAGGTTAATCATGAATGTTTTCCTAAGTAAGGAACATGTTTAAAGATGAAATGTTTTGCCAAACGCTATTCCCTGCTGCATAGGTAGCACGCTTCATTTGCAGACCGTATTTTTATCTTACCATAAGCGTCTAATAATTATCAAATTCAGCCCAAGCGATATTCATTTATTTGCAAAATAAACCCTGAAAAAGAATGTTAGCTTTGCTTTGAAGACAAACAAGGGGCCTTGAGTATTCATAGTGGATTGCTTAACAAAAGGATTGTCTATATTGCAAATAACAAAGCTGAAGGATAATGGTGTTTTTGGCTATTGAGCAATGAGTGAGGTGTCTCGATAGACTTTTCTGTCTGACAGACCTTATCTGAGCGTACGCTGTAGATCGCGCTTCTGCAGCTGCTATCATGGATGTCGCCCTTCGAATCCTTTGGTGTAGATTCCCTGGTACTCGGGTCTTGCTCTTAGAATCCCTCTTTTACCTGGCCTTAAAACCAGGGGTCAGTCTTCAAACATACACAAGTGCCTGGTCTTAAATTTCTTTACTGGGAAACGTTGTTCTCTAATCTGCAGCATTTGAATCGTCAGGACATTGTTTCTCTAGACCAATGTAGAACCTAGGTGTTTTTGTTGTCTTTGCGTCATTTGTTAATGGGTTTGGATGGGCTTTGATTCGTTACTTGATGCTGTTTTGCTTCATCTAGAATACGAATTGAGAGTGTATGTAGGAACTTCGGTAGAAGTTGCCGTGCTATTTATTAAAAGGTCTTCCATACTCTGTTCTTGAAACACGTCTTTAGCATTGAGGAATAAATCGATGAATCCTCATTACTCTTAAAGTATTTAAAAACTCTGGCCTAATGTGGCAGCGGGAATGCGACGATTGTAGAGATGTCATTAGAACAATGTGCAGGTCCCTTTTGGCAATAGACTGTCTTCTTAAATCCCCCTCTTCGTAAAAACTGCTTCGAGTCATCCTTGAGAACATAGTGAGGCATGTGACCGGAAGTGGGCTTGTTGATGACTTGCAGAATTGCACAGTTAGAGGTCGATTCAACGCTGCAAGTTTTTTGTCCTCTAGTCTGTTACTACTCTGGTGGGTAGCACTGACATCAGTCGGGGGGTATAGGTGTTCTGCTTTTGAAAAATAAACTCAAGCTTTGCAACGAGACACTAGAGACACTAGGCTCTGCTTGCAATAGTGATCATTTACCAATCAGTTATTTACGGTCTTGGTTTGGTCCATTGCTCTCGCCTAATTATGCGGATTATTTGTGTTATTGCTCAAGGGGCAGATTGTGCGACCCTCCTTGACCTTGAGTGGTGTCGATTTTGGCCTCCATACTAAGTCACGTCGTTTGCGTCATGCGGCCTGTGCAGTTATTGTGGCACCGGCAACTGACACTCCCTCTGCAGGTGAAGTTGCTGTTCAACTACGTTTTGCATTATTCGTCGCCAGGGTGGTGAGGGGCTTCAACAGGACTCCTGTTTTACTAGGTCTTTATCTACAATCCCATGGTGCTCTCATGTGCATTTTAGAGATTAATCATTGCAGAAGCTGGTGCGCCAAAAGAGGAGAAATGCCAATGAATTTTATGACAGAGGGTAAAAATTTATACTATTGAGGAGATGTTACTTTCTCGCACAACGCATCTTGCAAAGTGCTTCGTGTTCGGTTTATTAATAAGTTGTTACTTTTTCTAATTAGTGGCCTCAACGGCACTGTCTATTCGGTTAAATTGAAGAAATATCAATAAATCCTTTCAACTGGTACAGATTAATCCTGCATGATTGCCCCACTAGGTAAATTAAGATTGCCTTGAGATTGGTCACTGAATAAATTGGAACGAGCCGTCCATGCTGTCGTCAGGGGTTGTCAACCCATGATGCGATTCGAGTGAACGATGCCATCTTCATGTTGAAAATGCTAGTGGTAGTCGAATCTCACATGGTCCAAAGTTAGGTAAAGCTCCATTTGCACTTCCATGCGCTTCTTCATGGTTTTTCGCTTCTGTAAATTTAATCGCAGAAATATCAATAGCTGGCGTAACAGTACGGTTGCCCAGTTCACTTATTCCTAAGCAGTAGTGATTCGGTGTTGTTTTAGCTATGTTTCTAAGTACGTTGTTGCCTCGCCCTACTGAGGTGTTTCTACTGCTACTCTGCAGCATGACCATGCTACCAGTATCTCATATATCCCATGCCTCACTGACGTCTGCTCCATCTTGGTCCTCTTGATTATTACGGTTTCGTACTTCAAGTTGCACTCTGTGCACAGAATATGTGCCTGATGAGAAGTCAATGTTTCCAACTTTGTTATCTAGTGTGTTCAACGGAAAAATGGTATTGAGGACTCATGGTGGTTGGAAAATTTTAGCGGTGCAATAACCTGGAATAACTCAAATTGGCCTTATTGGATATAGCAGGATGTGGTAACCAAATCGTGTACCCCAATACCAACAATTAATTTGCGTAGTAATAGTTTTTATTGTAAATACGTTCCAATCCAAACTTGTCAATGGATCCTGTTCCAGATTTGAGTGAGCCTGATTTGTTTCCTAAATGCATTTGCGGGTTGCCGCATTTATTCTTGATCACTCCATTGTCTTCTGGACATACGGCCTGACTTCTGGCACAAACGTACGTGTGTATTTTTGCCTGCCCCACACACAGGTGGGAATCTTTACATAATTAAAAGCTGGCTTACGTGTTCTGAACTGACTAGAGGATAATATTGTTCTCAATGACTGAGCAATTTCTGATAAAGGAAATCACTGTAGCGATTTGAGAGCATGGTTTGAACACATCCATTTGTCTTAGTGGCATTAAATCTCTAGTATACATTGATAGCACTGCCATATCGCTGCTTCTGTTTAATGTGGTGCACAGGCAACGCTCATTATTCCATGATGTCATTCTGACCCGCCACAGTGCAACGCACCCACCAAATCACAGGTTAGCCTTTGTGCCAAAAAAGTTCACTTCACTTGTGCTGACTGCTGCAGAGCAAACAACTCGAATGATTGTCACTTTCTTTCACTTATTCCTGCCTTTCTTCTCTTCACCACATGAACAAAGGAGTATGATGCCACTTCGACGCATCAAGATTTTTCACCGAGTAGTCAGGCAGTTGGGCTTTAACACTAGTGGATGTGCAAGCCTACTTGCTGATGCTGAGTCCCAATGCCACCCACCCAGATGGGTGGCACAATAAGGTAATGCACATAGGCGATTGGCACATTGTTCGGATTGGATTCTCCCCTCCCCCACACAGATGTATCTGCACTCACACTAGAATACAAATTATTAGCAAATTGTTCTGCTAATTCTTCGCCAGCAAATATGGAACCTTGCCGTAAATGCCAAACGTAAAAAAATAATGCATCACATCATATTGCTTAGTCTAGCCATGGTATCCACCAAATAAAGTTGTCCCACAAACCTTCTTTACGTGAGCTACTGATCGAGCCGCTTGGTGCAGTTAGCATTGCGCCGATACTGCGTTTCAATTTAAAAGTAAGCAGGATGCCGCGTTAACGGTGGGTCAGTTTCTATGTCGTCCCCAGTAAAATAGAAGATTTCTCACCTCTACGTTAGGAAAAAACGATGTTTTGCGCCCAAAGATCACCATTACCAAGCATTTAATTTTATGCCAACCAGTCACACCTCGATCCATCTACCCTGATAGCACTACTCCCTAATTTCAGCACTGCGTCGGGCCAACTCAAAGCAGTTTTCCAAAGCTGAAATGATGCCTTTTACAGCGTACCCACAACCTGGTGCGTGCTGTATGGTACATAGTGCACGATCCGTGGTACATTTTAAACTCAATCATTTGTTTAATCTCCACATCAGTCAATGACATGCAGATGAAATTAATGAACATTTTACAGGTGCCTCTAGTTCTAGGTTATTAGTAAAATATTATCTTTCAACAAGAATTAAAAGGTTGTATCAGTGGACAAAATCTTACGGAATCTTGAAGGAATTTTGTCTGAGTATTGATACTTCCTACTTATTCTCTTGTGCAGCTGTCTTCTTTGCTACAATTTTAGATCCACCATTGAAAGATATTTAGCTCTTTCTCAGATATACTATAATTTGCATACTTTACTCTTGTAGCCAGTAGTTAGGGACTTTGTCTCTGCCATACGCCACTTGCACAGGAATCGAATGGTCTCTTGAAGGTGTCTGCTCAAGTTTAACCTCTCAGAACGGCTGTTATCAATACATGATAAGTGAGAAGAGCAACATGGTGTTAGCATTTATGTCAGCGTAGATTGCAACTGCAGCTCAACACTGGGCCCTTGGGTCACGTCAACAGCCTCTCAGCCGTTTCTCACGTTGGCAATATAGTTTCAGCTACATCACTTTCACCTCCTAGGACTTCAAGGAAGATCTGGGTTGTCAAAATAAGAATTCAGAAATTGCCATTTATTTAGTTGCAATTTTGTTCGAAATCCATCCCGAATTACAATTTGTTGAAAGGATTCCACGGGATAGTTGCCCACTTGGAGTGTAATCAAATATTATCCAGATTGTCACAAATGGATAAGCACTTAAAAAGATCCCAGAATGCTCACGGACAATGTGTAATATCTTCTAAAACTAGGCAGCTATCCAGCTTCTGTGGCTCCTAGAGATTGCTTGGGCTGTGTAACTTATAGTTAAAGTGAGTAGAAAACAAAAAAACAACTTATAAAGTGGTTCATAAATTGGGATATATACTAAACTAATAAACTGAGGCTACATGGGCAAATCATAAATTCCTATCTTCCTAGTGTAGAGATGAATGCAAAAAAAGTGCTTCCCATTCGCAGTACTATCAAAGCGTAAGATAAGGTGCTGGTTAGGAGTCATTTTTGAGGAGTTGACATGTATCATGTTGAACATAATGGGGGTTTCCTAAAACAACACTACAGGTTTGTGCCCCCATTTAAAAAGCAATTTGCAGATACACATTTAGTAGTTTTGTAAGTCCCAAAGCAGAACTCAGCTATGCGGTGCTTTAATTTCGAGTACTGTTGCCTCAACTTAGATCTCTTAGATCCTATTTACTTTCGGTTTCCACCGCATTGTACTCGTTCTCAATGAAAGCATTATTTGTAATAACATTATAGGACAAATTTAAAGCATAGGAGAGTTTCGTAAGGGCAGTACGTTTCCGTCCGTTTTGTTCCAACTTGAGGCTTTCTCCTCTCACAGCTTAAACAGAAAATTCATTGGGAATTTTCACAATCAGCAACCACAAAATTCTAACAGACACAGTTGGTTCAAAAACGAATTTTGAGATTGGAATGCAACATCAGTCCACTCAAGCATGTGCTAAACACCTTCCGTGCTTTGCAACTGCCTTAACTTAGGCGCTTTATCATTGATAGTTATGCTAAATCACGAAAAGCGTTGGCGTAGATTTACCTCAATAAAATAAGATGAGGTATAATAAATAGTGGACTGCTTACTCCTGAATCGACCAGAATTCTCCCATAGGCCTTTGGTTTTACCATCGTTTGGCTAAGGACCCACCTACCTGCTCAGATCATGAGAACAATAATGTTAGTCATATTTCCTGAAATTTAGTAAGAAAGGGACGTTATCGCTGACCTCATTCTTTTCAGAATTGTTGACAGAAAGCATGGTTTATATATTGCAGGCATTTGTAAAGGACGCCACAATATTGTAACCATATTCAAAAAGTAGACCACAGGCACAAATGACGACGTGCCCACAACTTTGACCACGCAATTCAGGCATTGCAGATATGTAAATAAGGTAAGACATTTACGCGCCTCAGCGTTTCCATGGCCTTAAAGTGACATAAAAGGAACCTAAATTTATGGAGACACTTTTAAATTTCCGGCAAAACTAGGTTTTAAAATGCCTGACTTGATATTACTCGGCGCTATATTGGCAAGCCCTAAGACCCTTTCCCTTTAACTGGAAGTCTTACTGCTTTCAACGTTTTTCTTTTGACTATCAGAATCAAACACTACTGAGGACCATGAATTGCTTTAATCTTGTTCCCCTACTAATGCAATTACACCCACACACGAACGTTACCCAAGGCTTGCTGTCGAATCACATGACAAGCGCTGGCACCAATCCTTCAGCCAATCGCATCACCTAGCATACCACATTGGATAAATCTCCTCCTTCTGATTGGCCTGTGTATTAACGCGCGAAAGCCATGAACCTCAGTGTCCAGTGCACGAACAAAAGGCGACGGTATAATGCACTGGCATAGCAGCTAACACCTTGTCGAATAAACAACCTTCCTGCAGGTAACCGGGATTTGCACATGAGACGGAAAACGGTGCTAATTTGTTGCAGTAATCCTAAATTTGAATCTGATCTAATTAAGGTAACACTGCATATTAGAAGTAGGGACTAGGAAGAGAAAACCTAGGTCAAGTGCTAAAACAAAGTTGCTGACGCCTTTCTCATAATTGGAAGGACTTTCCACTAGACAATGACGAGTTCCCCTGAGTCAGAGGTCACTGATCTGATCGAAATGGTTGAGGTTGTATCAAATCCTTGTATTTAGCACTATCACGTCAAAGTTATGACAAAGCTCCAGTGTATCCAGCTTCTACGGAGGACAGATGCAGCAAACGGAATCTGACAAAACAGGCAATTCTGGTGGAAAATCGCAAGGTAGTAAACAGAATCTGATAGACAGGAATTCCGAGTAGGAAACTGCAATTTAAAAAAAGAATTCTTATGGTTCTAATGATGCAGTAAATACACAAGGACACCCAAAAGTGGAGTAGTAAGGCAGATTTGCAGTGTAGTAATAGGGTCGATATGAATCTTATTCGGTGCTGGAGACGCCAGTCATTCAACTGAGGGTGGCCAATGGAAAAGGAAACAAAACTATGCTCGAATGTGCATCAATTTTCGTTAACAATTTAACCTTTATTCATCATTGAAGAAAAGGAAGCTAAACTTGCCGTTTAATGAAAACAATTTTGCTTATTTATATGATGTGATCAAAATACAAGGTAGCAAGATAAAATACTTGATGGAGCGATGATTCCCGATGGCCAAGCAGGCACCACGACCTGGCATGTAGCACTACAAAAGCCACGCTGGAGCACAGTATCTACAATAGGCGATAAAATAACTGTTTACACATTCCCCCTTACTGTTCACGCTCCTAATAAATGACACTTTTCCAGCCGCGGCACTTTGCAGTGACTCGATGTAAGACATGTAGTAAGTCACGATTAATGACTTGCCAAAACAACTAACCAAATTTCCTCCACGACTTTGCCCATTACACATCCACAACTCTTCACCATCATCCTCATCGCATGGAGCAAGTTACTCCTCATTGATATGCAAATGGTTAAGCAGAGATAATACTTATTTGTCTAAAAAATTTTAGAACTGCAAGGTCGATCGTTTGCATGTCAAGGAGGAGATCTCTTCGAAGTCGCAAGCGCTAGTTGAGTGGCTTGCTCCATTAATAGCCTTTATGATTCATTATTTTGATGACTAATTTTTCGTGTGCAATGCCTGTGAGGCGCACCCTACATCCTAACCCGTCTGAAACACATCTTTCTTTGCAATAGGAGTTGGTGGCTGTGTTGGTTGACAGGGTCAAGGCGCCTTGAGAGGGGTTCTGTAGCCATTCTTTAAAAACACCTCTCAAATCATAAGCAAAGTGTGCCTCTACTGAAGAATTACATGATTATCTTCTACTGCAGTTAGTAAGAGGCGACTTGCACTGAAATTAAACATGAAAAGTTTTTTTAACAAGGCCTGCAACAGGAACGAGAACATTTAGACAATTTTGAGCTACTTCACCGAGGTCAAATTCACCTTTTATTGCATAGGCTATTCTATCTAGACAGTATCTGACTTGAAAAATCATCTGGCCTTGGACCTGAATTGTCTTTGAAGATGTTAGATGGAGAGAATAGGAGGGTGGAGGCTAGCAGCAAAAGTAAAGTGGGCATTGATGCAAAACATGTTAGTGGAAGTAAGATTGTGAAAAGTTGGAATGTCGTGCATGCAAATGTTACATTGAAAATCGAAGTACTTCTCTGAAACATTCTAATTGTGGTCAAGGCGACGTTCTCTACCATCCTTCCGTTCCTCACCCCAAAGGAGTTTGTCTTTCGGCATCGGACATAACAAGTGATCAAGTGGACTAAAATCAACCTCAGGGTAGGAACAAATGCAAAACGTTTAGGTTTCCTCACAGAAGAGGACCCGTTACGGGTAGTTAGACTCGTAGACATATATGGGATTCGCACTTATCCAGTCTCTTGATGGGTGAAACTCTACTGTGTCACGCATTTACTTGTAAGGTGAGGAAGACAAAAAACCTGCTGTAGTCGAATCTCTAGATGTTCACTTTGCACTGTTACCCCTCAAATTGTGGGGGAGAGAAGACCAGAGGCTATCAAGCTTCGGTAGCAACAGAACTGAAGTAAAGTCTAAAAGTTGTAAAATGCAAAGAAATGATGGAAACTGTGTTAGATCCCAGCAAGACAGTTGCTGGATCGGGTTCAGACACAAGCAAGGGAGCACTTTGATTGAAAAACCAAGGTGGATGTAAGGTTCGTACTCAATTGCCTACACCACCAAGATAAATCCTACTAGATAAAATGCACTTGGGACTGGATTTACCAACCCAAGCAAGATGATTCAACATCTAACCAACGCCACATGCAAAAAAAAACACTAAAACGGGCAAAATCACGTCAAATGTAGAACCGACACTATAAAGGAGCCCTTCCAAATTAAGCCTGCTGCGCTATACAGAATAGTACCTCAGAGAACGACAGATGTCTACAAACATATCCTCTCATATCAACAGCTCTACGAGGCCCTGCACATTGCCATTTCCACATGCAATACATAAACATTGCAGCATATGTTGTGGACAAAAAGGTTCTTACCGAACACCGTCGTGGGTGGCTGACAGTGAGGAACATCTACTACCTCACGCGTGTGCAGTGACTACAGCAAGCATTCATTTAATGAGCATTTTGGAGATTATTAAAGCGGACGAGTATTCAGCATCTTTGTCAACCTCAAGAGGAATTGCAAACACTTCTTGAATGGCTTTCCTTTTGGGAATGACAAAAAAAACTTTAAGGAAGTGAATCAGTAATCATATTCGATGAAATTTCCATCTAATGTGATAAAAATTGGATTAAAATACAGAATACAACGTGTGTACAACCAAATGCTTGTCCATCCACTCAAATAGTTCGTAAAAATGAGTCAGGTAGAGGGTAATTTAGACACAAGGGAGTCAAAAAGGGAGATGTAAAAAAGTAAAAATATGCACAACTTTAAATCTCGTCAAGGTCGGAGAAAGGGAACAGATATTGCAGTTGGTGGTGCCTGCAGCGACGGAAAGGGAATTGGAGTTGGGATAGTCTGAGGGAGATGGTCAGAAGGCGGCGGATCAGCCACAGAGGCCAGAGATCCAGGAGAGGAGCCTGGCCACAGTCCAGGCAAAAGGGCTGAAGCAAACAAGCGGCCACGGGGGCACTAATAACAGTCGGCGAAAATCGAGACATACCGAGGGCCGCATAGCTCTCCACTCGCGATATCCATGCCACCCAGTTCACGAGCAAGGCTGCAACGGCAAGGAAACGCAAACAAATCAGTGTGGTATAGCCATCGTCTCCTCTTTCGTGCCCATTATCCTCGCTGTCCTGCTGCTCTTCCATGTCAGGGATGGGTACGCGGTAAAAGGGCGAGAGGGCATCGAGTGGCGTCAACCACAGAATGCCGGTGAGCGTAGGCCTCGGCAACGGATGGTGTTGCATCAAATTCAGCAGAGGCGATAGTGGCGACAGTGCCTATACGCATAAACAAGCATCAAACTGCCTGCAGCACCTGCATATTTGAATTGCACTTCACACGCTCACGCCACAAAAACATTAATGCTTTCACCTAAGTAATGAAATACACCCAGTAGCGAGATTAAAGTAAGACTATATTTGCGTCTAACACTCATAAGAGTGCCCACAGAAACCATCGGACGCACATCAGTTTTTCACTTCTTCAATGTAAATAACAAAGCCTGATATGCTCATTAAAAGTCGCTATTATCACACCTACAGAAGGACAAATTTTAGTTGATCAACTGGCTTACCATGGGATCGAGAAGGACGAGATTTCTTGTATTTTGATTCTTTGAGCAAAAGTGACAGATATCCGACATCATTCGACCCGAACTGGCTCGCCATGTTGGAATTCGGATGCCCGTCATCGAGAGGTCCACTTTCTGTTGTGGAGCAAATCGAATAGACCATCGAGTCCGGCGAAAATACCACTTCCATACGAAAGGTAGACCTGTGTTAATAGATTTCCGAATATAATGGTATTTGTATCGGCAAGCCCAGCAGTCTGTTACTAGGGGGTAGGGCACACGAACGCGCCTGTACGCTGTGGATGAGACAGATGAAGTCAACTCTACACTCTCCTTTCCAAGCTCATTCGCATAAGTATTTTGTTCTGTTGTGAGTAAAATCTCACTTCCCATAATCAATTTGTCTCCATGATATGAGATTCCACAATGAGAAGTTGATTCAGACACCATGGCGTCAGATGCTTCATCGGGTACCATGACGACATTTTGGGGTTCCAAAGAGCACAAGTCAAAGAGCCATCCGATACCTTGACTCCCACTATCTTCATCACTGTCCTCGTCCAAAAAGCATGTGAAGTTCCCGCCGTTTCGGTTTCCCTCGAAAAACAAACTACCAAACAGATAATTCATGCCCTTGCCATCCCGTGATGACCAAGGGCAAAAATCCGCGGTCAATGTCTGCATGATCGGTTCGTTTGATTCAGATATGTCGCTAAGGTTCAGAGAAGAACTGCAGCTAGTGTAATTTTGGTGAAGACTTCCTGAATGCCGCAAAAATGCGTACCATGGACAGTTGCTGGATGTCTGTCTCGATTCTGGATGCGACTGATATTCGTGTAAGACGCTGGCAATGAAGAAAGTGTTGTAATGTTCACCTAATTCGTTTCGATGGTGTTCGGTTCCCAAAAATTCAATAAAGTAAAAGACCGTGTAAGCATCTGTTTTTTGGTTACTGCTAGGATGCCAAATAAGAATTCGCTGAGAATCAACCTCAAATGGCGTCCAACGACTTTCATAAGGATCTCGATAAATGCCTTTTTCTTCAGGATCGAACAAGTAGCGAATTTTCGCGAAAGATGGGACGCTATCAGATGCAGTATCAGAGAGAGCATGAAACGTCGCATTAGTGGACTCTTAGAGCAGTTAAATAGCAATATTTTATTGCACATTTCCACTGTAGGATTTTGCAACTTTTATTCACACAATCAGAGTCTCGATTAACCTTAGCTTCTGAGCCCATATTTGTGGCAGAAACATTAACTCCGTCACCCCAATTCTGGACCAAATCTTCTCTTTTTCTCAACTCCTCTTCCGCCTCCTCCATCTCCTCTTCTCCAGTGGGCAGGCAACCATTGGCACGAGCCCACTCGAGCCATGCGCGGTTGGGCGGGAAGCGACGTCCCTTGACCGGGAGACCAGCAAGCACACGCGCCGTGTTTGTGGATAGCTGAGCAGGATCTTTGAGTGCTCCAAAGCGGTTGTTTGGCGAATCAAAGGCGGGGTGATCGATGACATAGAGCACAGCCTTCACCAAATCCACCAGACAGTAACAGCTGTTCAAGAGACATGCCAAAAAGAGGAATTAGGTTTATAAGGCAGGCAGATAAGTCTCATAATTTCAGCTTGATTAGCTATTGTGGGTTGTGCTTCTAAGTTCTGCATGTGTGTTCTGGAATCCAAAGTCATAAAATAGGTCAACAAAATGTTTCTTCAACCTTCTTTTACTTGCCTATCTCATTCGCAATTTGCCAAATTCATTTTACCAAAGGTGCTGGTCATTGGCTCAACTTCAGATTGCTTAAAGTTTTCCATTTACAAGATCTTAATTACCTTCGCCATTCGCTGAGAAGACTTAAGCATATTGCGCCATCTGACGGATCAATGTTGGGATGAAATATGGGTGAGTCGAAGGACACATCGGGACAAGCCTTAGGATATGTGGGGCAGCACTTGATCTAAAATTAAGCAATCTTTATACAGTTATGTTTTACGCCATAGCATTTACGTAATCATTGAAATGCCTTCAGTGATACACAAAAAAAAACTGCAAAGCGTTGTCTGGTTTAAGTACTGTAAGTACTCCGGAGTATCAACTATAGCTTGTATAAATTAAGCGGGGACTTGAGTATTACTAAATGCCTACTGTCAAACTAATAGAAACAAAATTAAGTCAATATCACTAATGCAGCACTTTTAAATATCCAACCAGTGAATATGACAAGCAATGAAATGTTTTGTTAACTTTTCGAACCAATACAAAATTTATCAAGAATGTCGGGAGTTTTACGGTCAACAGGAATTCTGCATGGGCATTGTAGCCGGATTTGGGTCGCAGCAAAACCTTCACCGTCATCTCATCAATTCCGACGATGGATGCCTGGCCGTCGGTCGAGGCGTCAATTGTCCTACACAGGTGCTGCAGATCCTTCATAAATGTGCGCCGAATTGCTGAGCAAGTCATCTGGTCGTGGAGAGGTTTGCAAGACCGATAAAAAAGGATATTTGAATTTGACTAAGATTACATCGGGCCCTTTGCTACCTTCAATTAATCATGCTTGGATTATAAGTCGCCTCTATGATGCTGCCAAAGCAAGGCAACGCTAAGATAATGAGGTTCTAAGATGTCGGGAACGCCGAATAGTGTGGGGTAAGATTAGCCAGTAAAATATACCTAAAACAGGAATGATTGAGCATTGAACACTTCACAAGTAAGCTGTATCCTGATGTCAGGGCACCACAAATTCACAAGAGGACTAAATGTTGGTGATATGAATACACAGTCCATTTGTGTGATGCAGATTTATGGACACAAAATCAGTAGAATCCATCAATAATTTCTCATAGAACACTTAGATTGAGTATAGAAGTTGGGACTTTGGTCAAGTAATTGCTACAATGTATTCCCAAAGAGAACAACTGACACTTCAGAGAACAGACTCATCTTTCCTGTGCATGCCTCGATACATCAGGCGCCATCATCAAGCGCCTGTTTCAGCAAGTTAAGCAGCATTTCTATGATCATTTTTCGTTGTCACTGTGACTGCAAGCAACGTGTATTTCTGGTTGGTAGGCGTAGCAACACAATCACAAGTTCGGCAGCTTGATAACTACTAAGGATTTGGCAAATGCATTCATGCCACTTTTCATTCATGTGGGTATGCGATCACCAGCCACTGTGCACAATTCCTTAGCAGTCTATAATCAAAGAAACTGCATCATCTTTTAATTTTACGGATTGTAAACTAATAACCCCTGTAAATTTTGGTAAATATTTGTCAAAAAAAGGTAAAGATGCCCAAAAGTCATGTGTGCATACTGAGATTTGTATGACAAAACTAATAAAATAGGCATCCTTGGTATAAATGCAGTCTTTAAGGCATGTTTCATTCCGGGAAGTACGTATACACTGACCATAAGGTGAATGAGTGACATCACAAGTTGGCACTACAAACCATGAGTCGTGCAAAGCTGAAAGCTACCCAAAATTGGTTGGAAAAATTAACATAAATGTCCCTTTTAAAGCCAACAACTGAACTCTTAGCGCGCAGGATGGGGTATGAGGAACTTCTCATACACTACAAAAATATGTAGATGTAAACCAGATCGCAAATTGTGTGAGTGTAATGCTTTTTCAATCCACATGTATCAAAGGGAGGCAGTAGAAAGTAAAAAGCCATTATTACAAAATACCAACATTGATGTGGGATGCCAAGTAAAAAAGTGAAATAAGGAACGAGGGGTATATCAGTCGACCTTCTAACACTGGGATGTAAAGTAAATTAAACCAAAATACTCACAATATTCGCGTCAGTTGGCACAGTAGAACTCCGAGGAGAAGCAACTACACACTTAAGAAGTAGTGCGGATTCCAGTTAGTGTGAGATCAAGGTCACGGCTAGCCAATCCAATAGCAGTGACATTTTGATTCGCCATATTATAAAACACTTCTTTCTTTGCTCTTTTGCCAATGCAGATGCCATCAACGATGGCTTACCTCAATAGTGGTTCGCCTTTTTACAGTTCGTGATGTCTTAATAACCGGCCACTTGTCCCAAAAGTCGCAAGGTAGACGTTGCAAACCGCAGTGAAATTTAGAAATAAAAAATAACAAACTGAAGAAACCAACTAATTGTCGGTTGTAATCAAGTACGGGTAATGCAATGCTTAACCACGATTCAGCCTTCTTCTCTTATTTTAACCACAAACATTGCGGAAATAAAACCCACTTTGAACACTGTACTTCACATTCCACTGCACTCGATCGCTCATCATCGCGTAAGAAGCGGTGGTAAGGAAATTATGTATTTTAACTAGCTTTTCCTGCATAGACACAAATACCACCTCATCACAGGTCACAAATTTACATAATCCAGTTCCCCTTTTTATTTTCATGGAGCCATATTCTCCTCGCCAATTTCTCTCGTAGTTTTCTTCTATGCCGCATGACCTTTGTTCATTCTAAACCAAAGATGTTTGTCACCTCGATCCCATCTCATTGCATCTCATGTGATCTACTTTGAAATGAATTGAACAACTCCGCTGTGCCACTTCTAACTATGTAGTGCACACCGCACAAGAACACTAGTCTATTTGTTCACACCACATTCCGTCTCTTTGATATAGCCCAGATGGACAGATGTGACAACACTCCTCACAGCGTACGCTAAGCTCTCAGTGCCACCATTGGCGCTGCCATTGGACTGCACACGTCCAGACACCTCTACCTTATTTGCGGTTAAATGTGTCCACTTGCCAGTACTTAGCATTCATTGATCCTGTTGAGCCTCTTGAGCTCTCGGCAAGTCTTTGCGATGCCCATTGCTGTTGCCATCTCCAATGCTCCTGCTGCAATAATACTGTGGCCAACTCCACCTAAAAGCCGTTCAAACAACACGGATGCTTCCATCCATGCAGTGAAGCATCCCATTAAGGCACTGTTCAAAAATCGGCGATGGAGGAAAAATACAAAACACCAAAGTGTCAATCCACAAACTCAAGGATAGACAAAAGATCCTTTAAATGGGTAGGAGAATAAAGCAGTGAATTGATAAGCAGCAATAAAAACAGAAGAAAAAGCAATTTGGAACCTTATTTACCTAATGGGAATATACAGAAGATAGATATATAAGCAGAGAAATTAACAGAAATATTCTGAATGCGAGTAGAGAAGAGAGGAGGACCGGTTCGTTCAGAATAACAAGCACATAGGGAGTTAGGAAGATATCCATGCCATCCTAAACACCAATGGCTGCAAAGGGTTCCTGCAACAAATGTGGCCAATTCAGTCCAAAATGCGTAACTTGTAGAGACTGATTTGGAGAAATACCCATGATTTTCACTTTACCAGTCAAAATTAGGCCAAATCTTGCACAGCGCAAGTATGCTCAAGTAGTGAAACTAAGCCCACCGCAATAACAAACATGGATTTTGGCTTGATTGTGTCTTGCTTTGCATTTTTTGAACCCTGCAGGTTTGCTGTGATTTGGTGCCTACCAGAGCTTGGTGCATGCAATCAGCCGACATTTTACAAATTTGCTTTAGCTGACGCACTATTAAAAGCTTTCCTTTGTTGTTTGCAGAGGGGAGATATAAGAAAACATACAAAAGTTTAGACGATAACTGCAAAAGCTGGTGTTATCTACGGATCAGGAAGTCAAAAAGCGGTATATGACCACTCCAAGCTAACCAAGATTGCTACTCCTCTGGAGTACCTGAGATGGCACGATTAAAGGCATCAGGCGACATCTGATTTGCAACGGTTGAAGTAATCTATTGTCATGAATTAGCTTATATTTGGCATAGTGCAATTTCCACAAGCAATATATCCACGCTTTTATTTTTGCAATCCTTAATTTACTAACTCAAATTTTATAACAAGGTGATATGCAACTGTAGATGGCACGAGTGAGATAGAGACTAGCCAATTTAAGTAGCGCTATAAATGTCTAAGGAAATGTGATTTAATAAAAGAAATGGTCAGGTTACCCGTGTCTGAAGTCAAAAATTGAAGTCTAAATAAATAGCTTGCAATGTAGCTGTGCTAAATGATAGGTCAAAAATACACAACTTACAAAACTATGTACTCAATATTCATCACTGAATTGAGTAGCTGTTGTCAAGACATCTAGTAAGTGGTCTAATGCTTGTAACATTGAGGGCATTACTCATCCGCACAAAGATTTCTTTGACACCTTGTCTATTAGCAAATCAAATCACATGCTTTCAAAAGTTCGTTCTAAGTAATAGTGTGGTTTACAAAATTTAACTAACTTAGAGTTACGGTAATAATTTAAGACATGCCTCATGGCCCAAGATTGTAAATTTCTTTGCTTTCAAGTTTTTCCCTGTTCAACTATTACATATGCTAAAGGAATGCATTATTTGTTTAACTCTCTACTTTGGTAAATAGAAGATGTCATAGCATTAGCACAGAATATGTTGCCGACGTGCGGAAGGTCTGAGGCTACTGACATGACCCGATGGCCCTAAGTGCCTGCAAAATCAAAACGAATAAATAAACAGACAACCCACGTATTGCATAGACCGCTCCCCTTGATCAATTTCCCGCGTTGACCATCATCAGTTAGTCGGCGCTGTAAGAAAAGCACGAACCACGAACCAACTGCGTCAGTCGTCGCAGTTGCTTGCAATTGAGATATCTGACTGCAAATTCACTGATTCCTGTTGGCAATTCTACTGGATCTGGAGGTCTGTTCTGTTTGGGAACTGTATTGGCGGGGAAGTAATGCGCAGTTAATCATGGAGGTCCATCTCCAGTCGAAGAACACTAACCTAAAAGCGGGGTCATTCGATAAGACGGCTTTTTCAACCGTTTTGTAGTGATAAAACTTCTTGCCAATTCATACCGGTTACCTTGTTTTCACCTCATTGCTGCACAGCGATATCTATCTGGGTACTATCTTGCAAGAAGAGAGGTCTAAGTGGTATCTCTTGTCCACTTAATTGACATTTTTACAGGTACCGTAGACAGCTCCACAAAGAAACTTTTATGGTTCATGATTAGTGCCTTTTTAGTTTTTAATGACATTCCTACTACATACGATACTGGGATAGTTACTGGAAGTGGACTTCATTATCAACCCTTCCATTATGGTCCCCCACAGATTATTTTAACAGCGGCATACACTATTGACAATCAGGGTTGCCATCAGAGTTGTTGTCCTTTAGGGTAGATTTTGCTTTCCACTGCCACCAGTGGAGTGCCCTGAGTCTTTTCTGAAGCTGAAAGCACTCATAATAGTGGGAGTGGACATGTATTGAAGACGTACAGAGAGGCTGGGGGCAACTGGCATTGACCGGGGACAATACCACTCAGCGGAAGTTCAAAGTACTGCAGCACGTCTATAATTTTCCAACTGAAATCCTTCCCTACCTTGCCACAATTCCCACTATACTCACCTATAATTGTAGCTGATCGTGTGACACCGTGACGTCCGAAATCGTCTCTGAGATCGCGGTAAACTAATGTGGCATATTAATACCATAAAGAATGGTTGGGTTACTATTAACATTGATTTTAGGCCCTGACATAAATTAGAGGCACATACTTCAGGGACCAAATCCCTAGGCTGATAATCATACAGTTGAAGTGACCAGCAAATCACTCTCAATATTTCCAAAGTTTCAAGAACACGATCACCGACGCTTATTGAAGACAGCACTAGGTGGCATTGCATTAATGAAATCTGTCTACATACACTGTGCAAAGTCACTATATCCCAATAAATTTTAAAGTAACTTTGCATCAGTGGTTCAGCCTTGGGAGTCGCAGTTAATATTAGTAGAAGCATGCTGGAATGAGACCACAAAGAGGTCAGAAATAAAAGTGTGAATGTATTAACTCAATCCAATCCATTTACTTATGTTCAAAGTTGAATTTGTGCCCTTTATTTGCAAAATTTATAGTTTAATGCTATGGAAAAAGCTAAATTAATTTTACTTTCCAAATGTACTGCTTAATAGCAAGACTGGACTCGCTTGCCTGCTGCATTATGACGATCGGGCGGTCGCACTTGTGAATGAACATCATGGTCCATACGTTTGATAACCAGTTTTCCATGGGTGATACGTGTGGAGTGAACCCTACAGTCTAACCTGGCTTAAGCACGTCTTCCTTCGTTATAATCGCGATAGGAAGGTTAGTGATTGGACTACGTGATAAGCTCATGGTTCCTAGAGTGGCATTCTGCAGTCATTCGTTGTGAACCTCTCGAATCATGGGCAGTGTGGCTATACTGGATAGTTACCTGATTAGCTTCAACTGCAATTAATAAGAGAGGCCTTAGGCTGAAAGTTAAAATGGAAGATTCGTTCAACAAGACCTACGAACAATGGGTATGCTTGGATATTGTTAAGCTCCTTTGCCGGTCCAATTTGTCTTTACTCCATGTGTGATTCTATTTGGGCAAAATCTGATCGGACTTAACTTGCTTATCCTTCTGCTTGTAGATGTTATATGCGGATAAACTGGCTGATGACTGGCAGCATCGATGACGCGAGCATCTCATCGCAGAATGCTCACCTGGTTAAATATAGTACTGGAACATGGACCACTTCACTTCAAAGTATCCATCTTGGTTTTGACGGCACTCTCTGCCTTTCTTTACCCCCCTCTCTCCCCAGTGTTTGCCCTGAACCAGACATTATAGGCAATCTGACTGACTGAAATAGACCGTGGCACAGCCACGAATGCGAGACGTTGGATTCCCAACATAGGAGGGTGCGTTATCGTTATATCATGTGGGATTGCACATACTTTCAACCTCCTTAGATGCCCATTTCGCACTAGTCGCCACTCAACCCATGGTGGGAAGAAGACCAGCCGCTGTCAGGCTTCCCATGGCCCAGCCAACACTTTTATTTTAACTCATTTTTTTTCTTCACCGATAATTGAAAAGAAAAGACTCAGGTAGAAAGACTCTACTTTACAAATATGCACACACATCACACAAACGAGTCTACATACAAGCCAAAAGGGAGGGGAGGGCAAACAACTAGTCCTCGGCGATGGAGAGTACGACAGTGGGTAAAGTGAAACCTGAAGCTTTGGGCGCCAGGGTACGCTGTAGGGTAGTCTTCACCTCCTCTTCGGCGGTCCTGCACGATTTTGCATAAATAAAACCTGGGAGTGGTGGTAGTAGTGTCAGCGCCAGCGGCGGAACAGCCATTTTGAAAACGGCTCCCTCCGACTTTGATGCTGGCGCCTCAGTTGAAGTTTTGTCCCGTTTTTTCTTTCCTTCACCTTCCCTCTCCCGATCTTCACCGTACCTACGACTATCACAGTGAAGTGAATGACTACCGTCGTCTCGAAAGTGGCTGAGAAATAGGAGAACAAGTTTATTAAAAGGTTAGTACAACAAGATCAAGTTGTGCAGCTAATGTATATCATGAGAATTTCAATCATTATTGCGCGATCGCAATACATTCCATGGGAGATTGACAAATATACCAAAACGATAGTTGACGAATAGAAGGGAACAAAGGGATAGTTCTATTTCAACAGCAGACTCCGTTTGTCACCATCACCTTCCATACTAGTTGCAGAGGAATTTGCATAAGTTTGATTCATTCCACAGTAAATTTACACATACACCTTAAAACTGAACTAGTGGAGAAACACGCACCATTACGTGAGGCACCACTAAAAGTTGCATTCAGTTTGACAATTTATGCAGCCCAATTTCACTCTATAAAAGATTGAAACAATAACAAGTTAAATTAAGCATGATCCCCATCGCAATAATGACACCGATTATCGTACTTTGGCAGTTTAGTGAAGTAGATTAGGAAAAAGCTCAAATCAATAGCAAATAGAAAACGCAACAAAAATCTAGATTCAAGATAAGTGCAGAATAGATCTACGTGGTGCCAACTACACAGCATCAAAATTGAGGAAGCACCTACCAGATCGACTTCGCCGATCTCAGTGCATCTGCGCTCTCCAATTTCGTCACGCCGATTATGGTGGCGGTGTCGAGAGGAGGAGAAAGTGGTGGAGTGCTCCTTGTCTAGACGTCATCTGTACTTAGTGCGTCGTGGCTAAAAGGTGGACAGAAAAGCAGGCATCAGGCAGGTGATGTAGTTGGAGGAGAGGTAAGAAAGGATAAGCCAACAAACCATATCATCGCCTCCGCATTGTGGTGATGGAGGACCTCGAGTGCAAGCAGGGGTTATTCCTCCCTTCTTCGCATCCGCCGGACTAAAATAGGAGGGAAATAGGACCAAAGTGAGAACATTTGCACCAATTGATACGAGGTAGGTGGCTTTTGCCACATTTTTCGGCATCGAAGCAGACAATTTGGAGTGAAAGCAGAATCGCTCCGAACGATTACAATAGTTAGGGGTAGGGTGAGTCTTTGAATTAAATTAAACTTTAATAGCCACCATGAAGTCCACCTTCAGAATCCAATTGTCATTATCTTGGTGAATGCTTGTTTATCAAGTAGCATGATTACCACCGTCAGGTCAGATACCTTAAACAGAGCAAACCAACTTGAAGTGACAAAATCTGGTCCTGCCAGTCCTCCCTTCATGCCATTTCCCAATTTAGTAACAAAAAAACTACTTGAAACACCTATCATATGGCATACAATTTCCTCCAATGTGTTGATTGTCCCTTTCGAGCGGTATTGAATGCGCACTTCGACAACTAGTCTGACCATGGCTGTATTCAACCACCTTTCAACACTTCCATTTGCACTCAATTCAGTCAGTATTTATTGCAGTAGTGGCTCTTTTCGGTAGGCCCACACCACCGAGGTATCCATATGATGTCCAGGAAGTATGTATCCGATGTGGCCAATGACCAGGCCGGCTGTGAAATCTACCTGGCGTAAATCAACATCGCTTTGGACATATGGTGTCTCGTATTTGCTGCGAAAGTACTCTCTTAACGAGCGAGAACGAGGTTGGCGCGATAAGTAGAAGTGGTGTGTAGATAATCGCATAAGTTAATCTCAGCAATGTGAATGGACATTGAGAGGACGGAAGAAGAATACCACACCTTCCTCAATTGTTGCACACGTGGTCTACAACCTACATTGCTTCAGTGTTCTTTTCCTGCCTCCATGATATTCCATCCAACCTGCATCAATTGACTGTCAACACCGGACTTGAAATTCTCTTTCCCTCCCAGGAATCAAGTGCCTTACACTTTTCCACTTCCAAATAAAAAAGTGATTTCTTTGCTTTTTATGCGACATAATGTGTAGCAGTTGTAGTAGGCGATGAAATGGGGTACAAGAGGGCCACGAGTGCCTACATCAAAACCGCAGCTTCTGGCCACAAGACGCGACCAACTTGGACGACTAATTGACGATGAGAGGGTCATGTCTTCAGCCATGTAAATTTTTATTCTTCTCCCCTCATACCTCCACTTTAGTTTCTTTCAATCAGGAAGAATGCTGAGTGGAAGATATTTTGTATTGGATGGTGGTAGTTGCTCACAAACAAACGCAGATACAAGTGGTTGTTAGACAAACAGTGCTTGTCTCCTCACTGAAGAAGGAGAATGACGACCTCTGCCCGGTCATACAAAAAATATTGTTTAAAGTAAGTGCTGAGAACTAAATTTCCGCTTGCTTTGGCTCTTTTTGGTGGACCCGTTGTGGACATCCGCCATCATTGTGGTGAGATTCAACCCGGAGGTGAATTTCGTTGAAATGCACTTAAATGGAGGGCCTTGGTGTGGGTTTGGGTGAGCTGCTTTGTTGGTTTAGGCGTCGGTTGAAGTCGTCGGCAAAGTGTAGATTGGTACGCTAGTGGTTGCTCTCCGATGGCCATGGAGGCTGCATTATGGGTAATGTTTATACAAAGTGTGATTTCAGGCATGTGCATGTATTTCAGTTAAATAGATTCTGCATGATTACAAACTGGGCTTCAAATACAGCTAATGGCACAACTACTGAGCAGTTAAAAGCCCAGTTGGCTCAGATGAAATTGAGTGGATTGGATAGAGTTTGAGCGAGTAGAAACTTTCAAGGCTTCCATTGAGCGCATTTGAACTAGTACTAGTAAATGTCGATTTGATTAACTAAAGACATTTCTTCTGTGTGTTACAACTATGTATTGAGCAAGGCTAGATGCGCTGATATAGGTCATCCGATAATATACGAGTGCACCTGTTTGTTTGAGTACAGACATTAGGTGGGTACTGCTGAGGAAATAATATCACTAAACTGAATCCGGAGAATGCAGGATCATTCACAGAAGCATCAGCATATGCTATGGCTCCTTCCTCAACAATATCAGAAGTATCGCAAATCACTGCGCCAAAGGCTTAGGTTACTTCCCCATTGTCAACAATAAGCATGCTCCCCACAATCACACTGATAAAATCATTATGTAAATCGACTGGTTTACCGGCAAACAATGAGTTAACTTAAGCAGATACAGAACTTAGTGTTATACATTAAATAACGGTCGTTATATGACGAAGTTTTTTGCTCATCACTTCATGATTGTCATTCTACTTCTGTTGCAAATTGGATTTTGGTGTTCAAAGGACGCAGGCGTTTAATAGGGGGAATTGCGGGAGTGAAGTGACATTAATACAAACCAAGTATTTGGATGATTCTAACCTCATTGCGAAAGTACATAACCTCCAACAGACATACAGAATTAAAAAATATGCACAAGTTTTATACCTTTGTGATTTTGGAAGTTTTAAGACAGGGAAAATTTCGGTTTTTTATATGGTCGGACCTACATTCAACTATTTTCGCGCACCTCGTCAATCGTTTATGTGTTACATTTTTGTTGGTTTCACCCATATTATAGTTTATAAACATGATATACCTTCCTGCTGTAATTTAAGAGCCTATCACTCAGCACTCTGTTTCATTAAGAAATTGAATTCTAAAAGTTGCAGTATAGATTGCACGAATTATACGTCCATGAATGTTAGGCAAGTCAATTCCTCTTCAGTACGTTCTGTGAAAAAATGCGACATGAGTCTGCTAGTTTAAATACACAGAAACCCTCCCGATATTACATTTTGCGATTGGGTTCAACTGAGGCCTAGCAGATGCCCTGCGATAGAGTCAATCTCAAGAGATTGTAGGTTCTTTACCAGCCTTTTATGATACATTGTGGGGGTTTTATTCACGGTTTTATTAATGGCTAACTTTTATTCGGTTTGCCTTATTCATACTGGTATTTTTGCGTAACATGTGTCTGCAGCTCGCCATTTGAATTTACGGTTTTTTTTTAGTGCCTAAGCGTGGAGATTTTGCAAATCTGGGAGCGTTTGGTAAGATGGTTACATGTGTCATGAAGATTTGTAGGTTTGCAAACGAAATCTCGCAATTTCATTCTCTTGGTCACATGCGTGAAGCATTAGACTTCTATCAATCAACAGTATTACTAATACCACTTTTAAAATCTGATTTTGCGAATTCATCCGTTATTTACTGAAGTACGTCAAGCTGTGTAATGTATTCCAATGTCTGCGTGCTGCGTGGTCCAATTTTGTAAAATAAGTAGACAGGATTGCTTTACTGTCAAATATTAGAGAGTGGAATTCATTTACTTGAGAAAATTCAAGGCGAACAATGATGTTTCCCTTACTGTTGACACAGTTTACCACCTGACTATCAATAACTGCTAGGCTTCACTCATTTTTCATTACTTTCCTTGTTTGGTCTATTTTTTGTTTTATTTCAGGGAAGACGAGGAGTCGGAAGTTTGGGTTTGAAGAGTCAAAACAGTGTTCAATGTTCCAGAGGATGACATACAGATAGAGAAGTGGGTGCGTTTTCGTTCAGTTGCGATGCTTAGCCTTTTTGGTCACAACGTCAAAGCGTTCCCTTTGTCGAAGACATTTAAACAAAGGACAAGCACAAACTGAGCTCTTTACGTTTTTTAAAGAGTGTATCAGAAGAGGGCTATGGAGCCATCTCATTTGGCACGTACCGTCGCAAGAAAGTGGTGAAGAAGGATTTCAAATATATGAATACAATTACTGAACGCATATACAACTACCGTGAAGCCTACGCACTTTCTACCTGCAATCACCCAAACATCGTCAAGTTCATTGGTGCTGGTCCAAACACGCGAATAGCCAACGTCCGCTATGTTGTGATCGAGCGGGCGACAGATGCCTCTCTGAAGGAAAGTAAGCATCCTCCTTCTTGTAGAGGTAAATTAATCCCTCCTGCCTTTAGTCATTTTTTCGGGAGTTGAGTACAGCATTTAGCACGTAATGCTCTGGACCCTGCATCTCGCGAATGGGTTAGATTATCTTCACTCGCGTGCTGAGCTGATCATCCATCGAGACTTAAAACCCGCGAACATGCTGCTCTTTGACGGATGCACTACCCTCAAGATAAGCGACTTTGGCAGCTCGAAGATTTTGAAGCGAGTAAAACGGGATTGCAGTCAGTAAATCAGGGTTCTCTTCTCTATATGGCACCAGAGGTAAAACAGCGTAAGTCTTGATGTGTTTATACCCTCCTCTACATAATGAGCTAATTTGATGTTAATAATTAGAGGCCTCGGTCTTTCACAGCCACTTTTACTGCCAATGTAACATCTGTGCGACGCTCCGGTTCACTTGTCTGACCTTGGAGTCAGAGACAAGAGACGTGTTCTCCTTTCCAGCATGAGAAATCTACAATTGCCAGGTCTTGTTGCAAGCTGAATAGCCGCGCAAATGGGTGGCACTGAAACATCTGGACAACGGAGAATAGTGAGCGCGTTAAGATGCTGTGTAAACAAAGTGGACTATCTGGCTAGTATGAGGAGTGATCCAATTAGATGTTTGCGCTTTCGACTTTATGCATGAAAAGACGGAATGTCATTATGTCATTTATAGTCATCCTCTCTACATTTATGCATTTGTCTCCACGTTTACATGATATACCTGCAAAGCAGCCTAAGTGGGGGATGATATGAACAGACGTGAACCCTTCTGAAAGAGTTGGATTCACTTCGTCGTCGATGCAGAAATAGTGGGATGCAAAGCATTGGTTAGGGTTGTGTAGTATGTGGCATTATTTTTACGTAGAGTTATCATAATGTAGATGTGGTGTGGTGCGCAATAGGATCTCAGGCGTTACTCTGACCAAACAAAGTAGCCTTGGTGGCCACCACCTGTCCAATTCTCCCACGGACGCACACACACATCACACAGAACACAACAGTAGTAATCTCCGTTTGTAATGATCTCTTGAAGTGGAAAACGAGCTCGAATGACCCTGCATTTGCATTGGGTAAGACACAGTCACTTAATACACAGGAGCAATTGGTCAGACTATTCGGTGATGATGAGCCTGCCTACATCCGTTGCTTGGATGCTCGTCTTGATTCTAGGCGTAGGAATATGTTCCAAGGTTTCGATGCATGTGATGACTTTCTCTGTCTAGATATGCTTTCAGGTTGACTCAGATTTAGCTTTGTTGCCATAGTCAAAAGGAAGAAGCTGTCATGATGCCCACCATGGGTGCGCTACTTGTGCTTACAATTTTTTCGTAAAAAATAGTGTTGTACGCACCTCTATCACAGAAACGTTTAAGTATACACTGCTTTTTTCTTCCTTTCTACCGAACCTAGTTACCAAGGATAAATTCTATACCGGTTATTCGAAGTCGGTGGATATTTACACCATGACGGTTTCAATTTCGGAAATACTGACACGGAGATTGGACGAAGATGTGAATCCCAACTGCGTGAAGATCCATTCGTGTCCACAATTTCTAAACTGTCTCTTCGATCGGTGAGAACCCCTGTGTTTTTTGTATATCCAAAAGCCTCGCCATTGGGATTAGACCTAACGGAAATCTTTGTGTGTGCAGTGGAATGGCAGAGGAATCGTGTTAACGACCATCGGCATCCTAATTGGCTCGGTTGTTTGATTTCATAATGCGCAATGTGTGCACTATGACCTCATTTCAGCTGACCATTGACTTGGGGAGCGCTACAGTTTGCAGTACCTCTCCAAAGACTAGCACCTGCACTTTAAGTGGGCACAAGTATTGGAGAAGTCTTTTTTAGTACAAGATCTTCATAGCGCCCCCATGTCCTCACCATATGTTTTTTGCGTCTTATGAGTTCTGACTGGATGCACTGTTTTGTCCCTATTGTGAACAGAATTGGAAGTTACTTCAGATGTTTCGCTGCTTAAAACTGATAAATTCTCCGCAACCAATGCAGATCACATGCCAAACTATATTTCTATGAATATTCAACTGAAATCGAAAAGATGTACTTAAATGTATATGTTATGTTTAGGTCACGTTCATGTTGAGATGCTTCTACTTATATGCTACCTGGCGATCACAGTGAGGTAGACGTTCTGTTAGATGCGAAATGGCACGCTTAACTTCATACCAGTTAGGCATTAAAACTATGCTTAGTTACGTTTTGAGATTTGTAACTTTGTTATTAATCATCACAAGGGCAAAAAAATGAAAAGCACGCATTACCACTACCACTACGTAACGCAAATTGCAGTAGGATCCTTGTTGCTGTGGCATTTATATGTACTACATTGCTACCCAAATCGGTACGGTAGTTAGCTTCGGTCGTGAGTTGGTCTATGGTTGGTGTTAGAGGGGCTGGCACAATGAACGTGGAAGACGTAATGGTCCATTTTGACATGAGATGATGAGGAAATGCTGTTTTTAACGTTCTATTGGGCAAAAAGGTAATGAGCAGGAATAGGTAGGCCTGATGCCAAAACAGCCCTACTAGATACGGGATCTAAATATCACGAAGAATTGAGTACACAAGAAATACCTTTTTGTTTCATGTCTACCGATTCAAGATCCTTTACGGTCATATAAAATCTCTTTGTTTCGGATTGCATCGGACTTTGATGGAGCGATTAAAGCAGTCACCGTGACACCCGTAAGAAATGAAGGAATTGGACTTCTGTGTACTGCAATTATTTGCGTATACATTAACATTTGCGTGTGCGTATTGCCCCAAAGCAAATGATCTGTTGTGTATGAAGCATTACTTTTACCGATTCCCATCCAGAGGCAGGAATTATTTTCATTAATAATGTATTTTTATGCCAATCGCACACCAAAGCACAAATTATGGATTGTCATTAACAAAGTACCAAGTTGGTTTCACAGTTCCCTCTATTAGCCACGTCATTTGGGTCAGCTATTTCAATGAACGTCTGTTTAATTTATTTAATAGGTGGGATTACTACAATCATGAGCAGAGAGGGAAGGCGAAAATTTAATCAGTGATGATCAGTAGCTGAACCTTTTTCTTTTAGACAATTCTTTCGTCAAAACCTCCAAAAAGAACTAGATTTTCCTACGACTGAGCCTTATTTACCCATCTCTCGCCGGTCAGATTTGTGTAGAAGTGTGGGTCACTACGTCTTTGTTCCATCCCAACGTTGGTCTTGTCATCACCTTATGTCCACCGGCTGGCATAAATTTTAATGCTACATTCTAAAACAAACATATGTGTTTTCCCTCGCCGCTAATTGTGTATTAGTGAGGGTCTAACTCATATTTTGGGTTTGCCACAATGGAATCGTGGGAACCTGCATGATCAATGGTGAACTTAAATTGACATGAAGCTTCTACTACGAAAAACTGAGCACGAACGCAGTTGACAGTATCACCAATCAGTCTTCAGGCGCGTACTTGCAATGCTTGCATCTATGCTTACACGTACACAGTCGCAGTCTCACTCAGTTTTGCATAAGTTATTACAGACGTGGTAGTTGTTCCCTTGAGTGTTGTTGTTTTTGTCTATCTCGTGGGTTAGTCAGGCGCATTCGCAGCATTTCCCTACGAGCGTACTAAAAACAAAATCAACGTCTTCACCTCTTGCAGGAATTGTCGAGTGAATGTGAAGAAACTCAGTTTATCTCTCTGGCACACCTATAGCAGTGCTAAAAGGGACAGTTAAAGATGGGGAAGTGGCAGCCTCACTTGCGGCAATAATCATTTGCGTAGTTAAATTTGCATTACATTGCGTCAAAAGCAGTTATCATGGCAGCTTTTGTATTCGCTTATTTTTACAGAAACCAATCTAATTTAAAGCAAGCAAACTTACACTAAATCAAACTTTTCTCAAGACGCAATTTATTTTCTTGCAAAATGACATTTTTTAATGGCGCACATTGGAGAGTACTTATGAACCAATAATTGCAGCTGATATAAGCTGCAAAAAATATGAAGCATACAAAATGAAGTTGTTTACTATCACTAGAATGGGATTGGAACCTTTAAGTTGAAATAAAACGCACTGAATTTTGTTCGACTTGTGTTTAAATTCTCACCATTCTCAATTGCTTCAAAATGCAAAGTTTATGCCTGGTATGCCATTGTAAAGACTTCGTAAAAATACCTATTTTGACC